TATAAAAATGACAAATTCTATTGATTTAGATTTTTACAGCATGATTTCACTTTGTAAAGATCCCTGGAAATATTTGTGGTAAATACATTTCAGGAAATCTGATGTGTTCTTACTTATTATTACATATGTTTCCTGAAATTGGTGTCAGTTAAGTTGTGGTAGTCCTTAGAAAGTATTGCCTAGTTCTTAGGCCTCTTTCCATCGGGGCTGTAGTTGATAACGTCTAGTGAATGAAGATTGTTTGAAATAAATTTCTGAAAGATACAAGAGCAAGAGCTTATAGAACTCTCATTTATTATCTTCTTGATTAAGCAATGGTGTGAAATACAGTTTTGTCATTTAAAGCATTATAGTGGGAATTACTTCTGAATTGAATTGGTAACCAAGTAACATGACTATTAAAATGTGTTGAATAGAATCCAGATGGGAAAAACCCGATGATTTCATTCCATACTCTGGCGATCTGCTTTCTAGTAAAGTCAGTGAAAAATCACTTGGAACCATAGAGGAGTCCAAATCATCAGAGTCACATAGTGATTCTGATGGGGAACAGGAAGCACAAAAAGTAGAAGTCTCTGCAGACACACCAAAGCTAAAAATAAAGTTCAAGGTAAGTTCTGGATTACTCTTTACAAAAGTTTATCAATTTACAAAAAGCTCTACAGACTTTCTTCAGTTTTCTGATAGAAGATAGATTTAAAACAAGACCTGTATTTCGGCAACTGGATAAATAGTTGTACCATTTATTGTTATCTGTTTGATAGTAAGACAATAAGTTTATTTTTAGATCTTTTAAGCTTGAGCTGCCTCTGTAACATTGAGAGAGCTGCCTGAACATGAAAATCAGAATGTCTAGGCTACAGATGCTGTTTGAGCATCATCACCATACTGGCAGTAATTTAAATCTCAGATTGGGTGCAGTAATCTAGGAAAATGACCTTGGAGAACATTAAACATTTAAATGGCAGGCAGAGAAGGAGGAGCCCACAAGGTAGGATGAGAATTTAATATCCCAGAAGTTAAAGGAATAGAGAGCATCAGGGATTAATTAGGCCTAGGAAAAGAAAAATGTCTGTTGAATTTTGCGGTAATGAAGTCCTTGATCCCCTTGTAGCAGTTTCACCAGAGTTTTGGGTGGCAGAACTCAGATTACAGGGGGATTAAAAGTGGTTCACTATGTGGTATATATGGTTTGGATATGAAATGAAAGCAGAAATTAGATGATAGGATGTTGGCTACATATTAATCATGAGAGAGATGTGGTAGTGTTGTTTTTGTTGAGAGGGACACCAAAGGAGGTAGAAAGGGAATACTAACAAGGGTAAGTGGGTAGGTTGGTCTTGAACAAGGGATAAACTCATTTTCTGTAAGAGGGTAAGATTTTGATTTTCTATAAGAAGGTATGGCTACAGATGAGTTGGTATCAGAGAGGAAATTGAAAGAGTTGTGCAATTTAGTTTCAGTTTACTCATTCATAAAGAAATCAAAATTGCTTGCTGAGAGTGAAGAACTGGTAAGCTTGACATTAATGTATTGAAATAGTCACTGAGCTGGGATGATAGAGGAAATGAACCAAGTTAAGAGGATTGACAGGTGGTGCTGAGTGCCCAGCCATGGTGGGAAAGTAAAAACAAATTTATACAGTATTACTGGTCTTAGTTTTATGACCTTTCCAGGAACACTCAGGAGCCCAGGTCTCAAAGGAGACAAGATACATAGCATTGGTCCATGGTTGAGATTGCTGGCCAGAGAGGCGAAGGAATATTGAGGATGCTGGAGAGAGGGTACTTTGAGGCCACAGCTAGGATCTTGTCATTGCCTGACATTTTTCTACCTACCCAGTAAGTCTTGGTGGAACTTAGGGCAAGGGATGTATTCAGTTTGTAGAGGAGCAGAAGCAAAGATCTTATAGTAGTAGCCATTTCACAGTGTTCGTAGTCAAGTTTAGGTAACCTGGCATTCAACCTGGTGCCGATATTATTAATTTCAAGCAAACAAAATACTACAAAATTCAGATAAACAAGGACAAACTACCTTTTTTTAATTTTTTTTTTTTAATCCTCACCTGAGAATATTTTTTCCATTGCTTTTCAGAGAGTAGAAAGGAGAGAGAGAGAGAAACATAGATGTGAGAGAGAGACACCGATTGGTTGCCTCCCACACAAGCCCCAACCCAGGATCGAGCCTACAACTGAGGTATGTGCCCTTGGCCAGAATCCAAGCTGGAACCCTTCAGTCCTTGGGCCAATGCTCTCACCACTGAGCAAAGAGGGTTGGGCAAGGAAAAACTACTTTTTTTTTTTTAAACATATCTATTGATTTCAGAGAGAGGAGGGGAGAGGAAAAGAGAGAGATGGAAACATCAATGATGAGAGTCATTGCTTGGCTGCCTCCTGCATGCCCCCTACTAAGGATTGAGCTTGCAGCCTGGGCATGTGCCCTGACCAGGAATCAAACCTCAGTCTCCTGGATCATAGGTCGATGCTTAACCGCTGCGGCACGCCCGGCCAGGCATGGACAAACTACTTTTAATCTATCATATATACCATTAGGTGGCTTAATATGGGCATACCTTGTTTTATTGCACTTTGCTTGACTGCACTTCACAGATATTTCGTGTTTTACAAATTGAAGGAAAGACCCTCCACCAACAAAAAGATTACAAGACTCACTTTATTGCAGTGGTCTGCAACTGAACTCTCAATATCTCTGAGGTATGCCTGTATAGTGAAACCAAAATCATTAGTTTTGAAGCTCACAAAACTGAGGCTAGGGAATTTTTAAGCTCTAGGATGATGACAATAATTTCAATAGGGAGAACGATGCCAGAATTGCCACAGTTATCAGTGAATATAGAGTAGTGGCCAGAAGTCATTAGATTATATATGGAGGAACGGAAGAGAACTGTATAGAAGGTGGTGTTGTGAACCTCAGAAGAGGAGGCATTTAATTGCATGAGAATCAAAGTAAAAAGTATCATGACCTTAGTAAAAATGTTTTATGAGAAAAATGTCACGGCCTAGAAACAATGAAGATTGCTAAGAGAAAGCAGATACTGACTCCTAGTCCTGTGATACCAGGAGCACGAGGGAATGAGTTAATATCCATTCAAAGAATTGCAAACAAAACAGCATCCCAGGACTGCCACCCACAGTTGTGCAGTTGCAAAGAGGCTTAAGTCTAGTCCCTATTCCACTTGCTAAACTGGGTCACAGGGCTTTGTTATCCCAGATGAAGGGGTGCCATAGAACCACCAGCCCTATCCAGGGATTCTCATGGGTGCTGCTTTTACCTCCAGGATGTGTCTTCTAATTTTATGTAGCTACCAGTTATATAGGACAGTAAAGTTCTGGCAATGTACTCAACATAAAGACAGATTTCAGAGTTCTTTAAGTAGATAAGGAGTGTAGAAGGGTCCAGTGACATGGCATTAAACTCAAAAGGAGCACAGTATAAAGGAAGGTCAGTGTTGGATGTGTAAGGAAGGAGAGAGAACAGAAAAGAGGATAAAAAAGGCCAGTGTATGTCTTTAATTGCAGAACATGAATAGATCATGTTCTGTTTTAAAAAGCAGCCTTGGCTATGGTGTGTGATTTTAGATGTGATGAAAAACCTAATCTTTGTACATTTGTTTTATGTGCAAATTTAAACTGTTTAAGTGAGTTAATATATTATTGTTTATAAATCAGTAATAAGACTCAAAGAAATGTTTAGTTTTTTAAAAATATACCTTTATCAATTTCAGAGAGAGGAAAGGAGAGTGAAAGAGAGAGAGAGAAAAATATCAATGATGAGTCATTGGTTGGCTGCCTCCTGCACATCCCCTACTGGGGATCAAGCCTGACCGGGAATCAAACTGTGATCTGCATCATAGGTCAATGCTCAACTGCTGAGCCATGCTGGCTGGGCAAGAAATTTTGTTTCTGTCGTGGTAGTATGATATTTTTTGACTTTGATATTTCAGGAAAAAAATAAAAACAGTGATAAAGGAACTGAACCAGAAAAACAGAAAGAAAAAAATAGCCAAGAGCAGAATTCATCAGGTTCAAAGGAAGAAAAATTCAAAGCTCATAAAAAATCAAACCCATATGGAGAATGGCAAGAAATTAAACAAGAAGTTGAGTCTCAGTAAGTACCTGAAATGAGATCCCACTGTTATAAGCATTTTATGTCCAGTACTTCAATAAATTATAGTCACTACTTTGAAGGATAAAGTGTTCATTAAAAGTGTAGCTTATTTCTTTTATTTCTAGAGCAGTTGCATTTTTCTAATGTTTTAAAATGTGAGTTAATGGTTACTTTTAAAAGTAAGCTAATGATTGTTTTTATTTCTTCCAAAACATGACATTTCTATTGACCACTCATTTACACATTAACTCAATTATGCATACACAAGCATTCTCACATTATCATTACCCTATGAGTGAAATAAGTATCTGCATGTTCAGTAAATGCTGCATATGAAACACCTGAAAGCAAAATGAAAAGCTGTTGCTGTCTTCAAAATGACGTATGACAGAGTTTAACAAAAGTTTTTAAGCCAGTTTCAAAAAAGAGTTTTATCAATTGAACAAGATCATGGTGAGATGTTACCTGGTTTATATTATTAGTTTATGTGTTTAAATCAGTTGTTATCTTAGAAGCATTTATACCGTAAAAGAAGCTGTCACTTCTAGCTTCACAGATTAGTGTTTCTTAACTGCTTAAAATATCTTCAGGTGAAAAAAAAAAAGTATCTGCTAAATAAATTAGTTAAGCAGTTATTTTCCAGCACATTAATTCTTTGAAATGGTAATATAAGGTGACTAGTCTGTTGATACTTGAAATTTATTGTTAAAACTATTTTAATGAAAAGGTTGTATTTTTTCACAAGATAGAGTAATGCAAGTTTTGGACTATTGTATATGCTATTCTAATTAGAATTGATTCCCTAGGGATAACACACATTAACATAGCTTACAGTACTACTATGAAAATTTTTCTAAGATGGATTCTACTCAAGATGGTGGCATAGGTAAGTGTGGTACAAGAATCCTCCCACAACCACATCAAAATTACAACTAAACTACAGAACAGCCTTCATTCAGAACTACCTGAAATCTAGCTGAACAGAAGTTTTACAAGTAAGGATGTGATGAAACCACACCAAGACTGGTAGGAGGGTAGAGACCTGGAACAGGCTGGTCCCAAACCCTAGTGTGGCAGGTAAAAATTGGGAGGGATAGCACGGCTGCAGAGTTCCCCTTGAGAAGCAAGGGGTACCAGCCCCACACCAGGCTGCCCACCTCAGGGTTCCATTGCCAGGAATAGAAGTCACCATAACTTCTGGTTATAAAAACCAATGGTGATTGTGGCTCAGTGAGATGGAGGGCTGCTGGAGTCCCAGGCATTTCTCTTAAAGGGCCCATGCACAGACTTCCTTGGCTCACAGCTCCGACACTGGGGCAGCCGCTCAAAAGCTCCCGGGACATTTTGGGAGGAACTGAATTGTTTTCAATCAGGGCAAGAGCTGGAAGGGCAGCTTTCTCCCAGAGAGAAGTGCTGGCAGAGGCCATTGTTGCTTTGCTGAGCCTTCCCCACCACAGAGCTGGCAGTTGGTGCCATATCTGAGTCTCCACCAACCTGGCTATTACTGTTTGCCCTGCCCTGATTCCCTGAGACCCAGATCCACCCAAATTGCAGGCCCACCCAAGCTGTTTGCAGTGACTCTTCCAGATGAACAACCTGTCTTGGCTCATACTTCAGACTTTACTAAAATTTCTGAAACAAGCAGCATCTGGCCTCAGAATGCCCCTTAATCTCTCAATAAGTTGCCAGAGGCCCAGCACTAGCAGCAGCCACCAGCCTTGGTTCACAGATTGGTCTCACCTGGGCACCTCCAAGCCCAGCACAAGTAGCAGCCATCTGAGGATTGCTTTGTAACTCATGCCAGTGGCCCCGGGCAGAACACAGGCAGCAGCTGACTTTGACCTACCCCTTCTGGGAGCCAGCATACCCTGTGCACAACATCAGACCATGTCAGAGCACCACCCAACTACCCCCACAAGCAACACTCAAGGGGCAGACTCAGCAGGCTTCAGAACCCCACTGAAGTAAGTCCTGCTTCATGGTATTGGCCCCTTGCACAACTGATCCTCCACAGTGGTCATAGCCAGTCCTTGCAGCTGATCAACCTAGGGGTAAATACCTCCTAGTGACATGCCAACAACAACCAAGGCTCAGCTACAGCAAGAGGGTGTACACAGCTCACATGATGGGCGATCACCTGGAGATCCCAGCTTGGGTGATGAGGGAGGCTGTGTCACTGGGCCACACAGGACATCCACTATATGAGGCCATTCTACCAAGCCCAGGAGACATAGAACACAGGGAGGCAGCCAAAATGAGAAAAGGAACTTAAAGAACAAAGGAAAGATCTCCAGAAAAAGAAAGTGGAGACACACAATTTACTAGATGCAGAGTTCAAAACACTGGTTATCAGGATGCTCAATGAACTTAGGGGAAGAGTAGATGAACTTAGTGAGAACTTCAACAAAGAGGAAACATAAAAACAACTAGAAAGCAAAAAAGTCAGAAATGAAGAATACGTTAACTGAAATGAAGAGTACATTACAGAGTATCAACAGTAGAGTAGATGAAGCAGAGATCTGGAAGATAAGGAAGCAGAAAACACTCAATCAGAACAGAAAAAAAAAAATTCAAAACAAGGATAGTATATTTGGGACAACTTCAAGCATACCAACATTCGCATCATGGGGGTGCAAGAAGGAGGAGAAAGCAAGGAATGAAAACCTATGTGAAAAAATGATGGAAAACTTCACTAACCTGGTGAAGGAAATAGGCAAGTCCAGGAAGCGCAGAGTCTCAAAGAGGCCCACTTCAAGACACATCAAAAATAAGATGCAAAAGTTTAAAGAGAGAACCTTAAAAGCAGTTAGTTACCTACAAGTGAGCTCCCGTAAGACTGTCAGCTGATTTCTCAACAGAAACTTTGAGGCCAGAAGGAATTGGCAAGAAATATTCAAAGAGAGAAAAAGCAAGGATCTACAACCAAGATTACTCTACCCAGCAAAGCTATCATTTAGAATAGAGGACAGATAAAGAGCTTCCCAGACGAGAGAAAGCTAAAGGAATTCATCACCACCAAACCAGTATTACAAAAAATGCTAAAGGGTCTTTAAGAAGAAAATAAAATAAAAAATGTGAATAATAAAATGGCCATAAATACATATCTATCAACAATTGAATCTAAAAAATGAACAGGCAGATCAGAAACAGACTCATAGATACAGAGAACATTTTGATAGTTGCCAGGTGGGAGGGGGTTGTGGGGTTGGTTGAAAAAAGATGAAGGGATTAAGAAGTATAGGTTGGTATTACAGGATAGTCATGGGATGTAAAGTACAGCCTAGGGAATATAGTCAGTAATATTGTAATAACTATGTATGGTTACAGATGGGTACGAGATTTATCAGGATGATCACTAAGTAGATTATATAATGTCTAATCACTGGGTTGTACTCTTGAAACTAATATTGTATGTCAACTGTAATTGAAAAATAAAAAACAAAATTGTTACTATTATGAAATGTTGAAATTGTATATATTAATGGAATATTAGGAAGTATGTATTTAATACATATTTAATACAGGGACCATGATAAACGTATTGACTGTGTATTTTGAAGTTGCAGAAATAATAGACGACATTACTTCAGACCTAAATAACTTCTTAAGTGATTTACAATAGGAAGATGATTCTACTATACCAGTATCTCATACTTCAAAGTTGAGATTTCTCAGATTTTGAGTCTTTTTTCTTGTGATAACTATATTTTAAAGCCATTCTCATTAAATTTTAACCTCTAAGCCAGTTCAATGTATGACTGATTGTGTCTGACTTCGTAACTAGATTAGCCTAATTTCTTAAGGATTTTTTTTTTCTCTAAAAGTAACACATATGTTTATTATAGACAGTTTTTTAAAATGAAGAAAAGCATAAGAATAACTTTCTCAGCTGCCCAGAGATACTAACATTTTGAAGTATTTTCCCCAGTTTTTATCTTTTCCTTCTTAGCATTTTATTGTTAATATCCTATTTTGCTAACATTTTATAAATGATACTTTTAATTGCTATGTAATATTTAATCATTTAGGTGTGCATTGATTTTACTGAGCCATTCTCTTTCTGTTGACATTTAGGTTATTTCTACACTTTTTGTTTATATAACTTAACTCTGATTTTTATATGGATGTATTTACTCTGCACGTTTCTGACTATTTCTAGAAGTGGAATACCTATTTAAAGATTAGGAGCATCATAAAAATTTATACTTTATTAGCATTTTCTGAAAGTTCCTCTTCCATTGGATCGTCTCAGCATGTTTTTAGTATTCCATATTTCCATCCAAAAATGTTGTGTCTCTTTTTAGTCAGGTCATCATGTATAATTTTACAGTTTTTGAACAGTGCCTAGCACATAATAGGTGCTCAGTAAAGGTTTATTAAGTACATGAATAAATTTTTATGTGTTTTGCTTTAAAAAAAAAAAAAATGATTAAATCCATGTTTTATTTCTTTAGCCAGTAAATATGGCATGAAAAAACTTATGTGTTCAGTGTGCTGCTGAATTATATTGTTATTTATAATTTATTCTTTTGAGTCTTGGGTTTTCCATGTAGAAACTTGGAAAAGTTCCATGCAAATATTTTGTGATTTTTTTTCTTTTGATTTTATTCTCTATTTGTTTCATGTCCTATTTGTTTTAGTTAGATTTTTACACCCAGTGTTACATAATAGCAATGATAGTGGGCATTTATGTTTTGTTTCTCATTTCAATGGGAATGTCTAAAATTTATATTGAAGATTATATTGACTGTTGGCCTAAGATCGATCCTAAGTCCATTAGGTTATTTTTATGTTAAGGAAGTGTGCTTTATTTCTAGATTTTTTCAGGGGTTATTATCAGAAATTGATTTTGATAAGTTTCAGTAGTCATAGCTTTGCTCTGGGGAACAGTTTGGGGAATGGTGGTCTGTAGTTTAGTTTTGCTTTTCTTTGTAAAATGTGTGATATCTTTACCAGGTTTTGGTGTTTGACTTATGTTAAATAAAATGACTTAGGTAGTT